TAAGAATAAAATGTTTATAAGATTAATCCTCAGAAATTAAAAATGTAATAACTTAATTTCAAAAGTTTAAAAAATTAAAAAATTAGTAAATTAAAAATAATTAGTAGATGATTTTGTCATGTATATGAGAATAGTATTAAATATTTACAATCAAATCAAGCAATAGCTTAATCTAAAGAAAAAAATCTAACCGAGACCAAAGAAAATTTCATAAACGAATTAAGACAAAAAGTCCAAAAAAATAAAAAAAATACAATCAATAAATTTTTTTTAATTTTAGTCAAAATTCTTTTTTCAAATTGAATTAATCACTCAATTTAATTACAAATATCTAATACTATTATAGTATATACGAAAAAATCATCTATTAATTTTTTAAAGTTTATTAATTTTTGTAATTTTCAAACTTTTATAACTAAATTATTATATTTTAAATTTTTAAGGACTAATTTTATAATTCGACTAGTGTTAAAAGCTAAAATCTTTAAATTTTTAAATTTAAAAATTTTAAATTTTATAATATAAGGTGAATAACTAATCACTTCAAATTTAGTTGGTAAGAAACCAAACCCATACTTTAACCTCTTCTTCAGATGAGTAAGCATGCTGTGGATGAAGGGGTTGCTATCCCCCACTTAGGTAATTGTTCCGTTTGGGTAGGGCTTTCAATCCGGGGGGTTGGGGTTCGCGGTGGTAATTTTGTTGGTTTCAATACCTAGTCTGTCTTAAAGCTGGCATAATAGTTGGGAAGATTTAATGGCTTATGATGCTCGTAGTAAGTTTTTTACTACTTTGATAGTTACATGTATACTTCTACAGTGATTATACTTACAATCCTTAATTGTAAATAACTCTTTTATTTAATTATCTAAATCTATAATAAATATAATTTAAATATCTAATTTGTACAATAAATTATACTTTTAATATTCCTATTAAGTTATAATTACTCTACCAACTATTCATTGGTCTGAGTAAAATAAATTTGGTTTCTTTTGAGTAAAATAAATTTGGTTTTTTTTAAATAAAATCTTGAATTTAAATATTATAAATAGAAAAACAGACGTTGAGAGAATTTTCCCTTTTTAAAATCCGATGTGATTCGATTTTAGATTAATGGAGATCCAATATACTTCTTGAATACTTGATACCGAGAAATTAGTACTAAAAAAATTAAGTTATAATTACCTCAATACAAAGATTCAAATGTAATATAAAAAATAGACATTTCAAGTTTAATAATTAACCTCCAAGTCTTAGTATTTAAATTGAATTAGTTGAAAGTTCAAATATATATATATATATATATGTACGTGGATGTAATATCAACTTGTACACGGTCAAAACCAAGTAACGTCTCCTAAAAATAAAAAAAACCAAAAAACCACGTGTTCATAGAAAATAAAAAAATGAAAAAGAAGGAACCTATTTTTTGAGGCATCAAAGGAAAAGCTGTATAAGTAAACTCGAATGTAAGATTTTTCCAAAGTGTAGCATCCAACGGACAGCATTTGCGCGTCCTACGCCCGCCATGCCAGAGTCAGACAACAAATCTGCTTTCATCACGTTTATTTACACTTCACAGTTCCAACAATACAACAAATTGATATTTTTCCGTTCAAAACAGATCAAAATACTGTTTCATTTCCACCACTGAATAGTAATCCACGCGGTTTCAGAGAAAGTGAGGAGGAGAAGAAAGAATCAAATTGTGAATTTAATTATATAAAAGGGGTATGTAAATGAATTATCCTTTCTCAGATTCTTGAGGAGGAGGAGAAAAAAAAAATGTTGCTTCGGAGTTCTTCAACCCCTGTTCTTGGGTCCCTCCTCTGCTCTGTTGCAGAGAGTCCCAACCATGAAACTGCTGCTGCCGCGGCTGCCGTCAAGCATCATCGGCCGATGGGACTTTACCATAAAAAGGTTTCATTTCATCCGTCTCCGGGATCACTTCATTTGTCCTACAACTCCTCTCCGATATCACCCTCAATTGCTGATTTTAACGGTAAAGGCGGCAGCGGCTTTTGTCGGGCTCAGTCTGACGGGAACTTGGAAGGGCTTGCATATGCTTCTTGCGACGGAAATGAAGAGTTCTCTGACGAAACTCGGCAGCCAAAGAAGCTTTCAGGAAGACAGAAGTGCTCGATGTTGAAGAGTATTCCATCTTTTTCATTTTATAATTCGAAGGCTAGGTGTGAGGAGGAAGAAGATGAGAGTGGTATGGAAGATGGGGAAGAGGAGGAAGAATGGTATTTGAATGAAAATGAAGAACCATTGCAGAGAAATGGTGAAAGGGGAAAGAAGGTAATGGATATGAATAAGGGTGACGAGAAGATAAATCTGTGTGAGGGGATAAGAGTTATGGACAAAAGTTCGAATGTGGATTT